TCCTTGCAGTCCTCCTTTTTGTCTAATTTTGGTCTGCAAACTTAGGTTGTTAACCATCCAGAAGACAAGCTTATTGTTATTACCATAGAACCTAGGCTGTTAAGCTTAACCTCATTATCTGTCTGAATATCAAACATCTTAGGCGTAACATAGAACAGGTATTATTCATCAAGTATTGATATGTTGAACTTTAAGTCCCTACAGAATATGATGAAAAAACATTTAAAAATTAAAATATATTTTAAAAATAGGCATAATTATATAATTCTTATGTTTACACATATGTCCAGAAATCTAACCATATACAATCTTATAGCAGGACAGTCCCGCAACATTCTTTTTCCTGTCTCCTGCCTTCATTCACTACCCCCTTCTTTTTGAACAGTCATCTACCCAAGAGACAGCATGGCAGCAACTGGCATGTCATGACAAGCAGCCTGTATTCAGGAGACCAGAATCACAGACACTACAAGCATGAACTTACTGTTACAAATTGCCATCTTCAGCGCAGTTGCTTACTTCACAGGTGTCTGTATCTATAGTTAGTCAGGGTGAGAATCATTCCAATTAACTGCAAGATTCAAAAATCTTCTGAAGATTCTCAGGATCATTGCCTTACCCATGTTCTACATATAACAGTATGGCTTGCCCCTGTCATGTTTCCTAGCTCTTCTCCTTGCTCTCTTTTCATTGTCTAATCCTCAAGTTGTTGCTTTCCTTTTAGTTGTATTATACCTTTCTATTTGTATTCTTCTTTTGAGTTCTTATACTAGGAAAACTATACGATATTTACACATGTGTGTCTGGTTTATTTTAATTAAGCCTCATTGATTTGGCAGCAGATCTCTTTAGAAAGATGACATGTTTACCAAGTGGAGTAGTATGCACCTATGATCCCTTGGAGTTTGGGCAAGAAAGATTGCAAGTTTGAGCCCAGCCTGAAAAACTTAGCAAGATTCTTTCAAAATAAAATTATTATTATTATTATTATTATTATTATTATAAAAAGGCCTGAGGCTATAACTGAGTGCTAAAGGCCTTAAGTTAAATCCCCAGGCCAACACACACAAATACAAATAAATACTTTGAAAAAGGGAAAAAAAGAAAAGGAAGATACCATGTACAGAGGAAAGCATTGATTTGATTTATTCTTTCAAAGAACCAACTCTTCCTTAGTTCTTTGTATTGTTTTCTTAGTCTCCATTGCATTAATTTCTGCTCTAGTCTTTATAATTTCCTCCCTCTTTTGGACTTTGGGTTTGACTTGCTCTTTTTCTAGAAGCTTGAGGTGTAGTGTAAGATTGTTTATTTGGACTTGTTCTGTTTTCCTGATGGGAGAATTTACCACTGTAAATTTTCCTTTTAAGACAGCTTTCATTATGTCCTACAGGTTCCAGTACGTTTTATCTGCATTTTTGTTGGATTGTAAATGATGTTTAATTTCTTCTTTAATTTCATCTGTGACTTATTGATTGTTCAAAAGGGTGTTATTTAATTTCCGTGAGTTTATGGAGTTTTGTGATTTTTTTGTCAATGATTTCCATTTTCATTGCACTATGGTCAGATAATATGCATGGAATAATTTCAATTCCTTTACTAGTATATGGTCTATTTTGTAGAACATACTATGCGCAGCTGAGAAGAATATATATTCTGATGTTGTTGGGTAGAACACTCTGTAAAGTCTAAGTCTATTTCTTCACAAGTTTGGTTTAGTTCTGTTTTTGGGGTTTTTTTTTTTTCTCATTTTTTGCCTAGTTAATTTATCTCTTTGTGACAGTGGGGTGTTAAAGTCCTCCATTACAGTTGTGCTATTGTTGATTTGATTTTTCATGTCTGTTGAAATTTGTCATATATAGTTGGGTATTCCTACATTGGGTGCATATATATTTATGATTGTTATCTCTTCCTCTTGTAGTTTTCACCTAAGTATATAGTGACCTTCTTTACCTCTTTTGATCATACTTTTGAAGTTCACTTTGTCAGCAATCAGAATAACTACCCTTCTTTTTTTCTGGATTCCTGTCACAAGGACTATTGTTTTTCATCTTTTGACTTTTAGTCTGTGAATTTCCTTTTGAGTTGTGTCTTTTCTTTTTTTAAAGTAGGAAATATTTATTGAGCACAAAATAGATTCTAAGAGAGACAGAAGGGTCCCAGAAAGTGGGTTGGCCAAGAGCCCATCTACTTCTCCTGTATTTTGTTTCTTGATCCACTCTGCCAGTCTGCTTTTTTTTTTTGATTGGTGAATTGAGGTGATTTACATTGATGGTTATAATTAATACTTACTGGTTTATCTTTGTCATGTTATTCTAATGCTTTAGGTTCCCTACTTTTCCCCTCTGCTCTGCTTGGTGCTTCCTTTCTATTGTTCTTGAAGTTGTGGTCATTTTTGTTTCTTTCTAGAATATCTGTCAGTACTCTTTGTAAGGCTGGTTTGGTGTTCATGAATTTCTTAAGTTGTTTTTTGTCATGGAAGTATCTTATTTCTTCATTAATTTTGCAGGATATATCAGTCCTGGTTGGAAGTTTTCTTCAGGACCTGAAATACTGCATTCTGAGCGCTTTTTTTTTTTTTTTTTCTTTTCTTTTATGTATTTTTACCAGGGCCTACTATGCAGCTTGGACTTGTAATGATTCTATTTTCAGCCTTCCCAATATTGGAATTACAGGCTGTGCCACCACACCCAGACTAAGTTGTCAGCTCAGAGTGCCCAGGGATGGGGCTGGTGCGGCATGTGGTACCAGGGAACAAACCCTGGTCTCTGCATTTGCCTAAGCAGGTGCTTAGACAAGTTCAACAAGGCTCCTTTGAGCTGTCTTGCCAGCCCTTGAGTTCTTCTTGACTTGATGGTTTGTGTTAAGAAATTTGTCATGATTTTCATGGGTTTTCAATTGTAGGTGATCTGTTTCTTTTTCTTAACAACTTAATAATTTTTTGCTGAATTTGTGGTGCATGCGTGTATGTGTGTGTGTGTCTGGTTCAGCCCACCCTGGGGGCAAGGCTGGTGTGGCATGTGGTACCAGGGATCGAACCATGGTCTCTGTGCTTGCCTAAGCAGGCTGCTGAGCTATCTTTAGACCACTGAACTATCTCACCAACTCCATGTGGGATCTTGATTATTGTGTATCTGGGTGATTTATTTTGGTTATTGCTGATTGGAGTTCTCTGTGTCTCACTTACTGTATGTCAAATTCTTCCATGTTTGGGAAATTTTCTGCTACTACTTCTACAAATAATTTTTTTATGTCATTTGAGTTGACTCCTGCTGTTGACATCAATCTTATATAGTTTTTCTTTGCATCATCTTGCAGCTATTGAATTGTTATTTCCTGGCTCCTTATTTTTAAGAGATCTTTCCTTTCACAATTGCTAGATTCAATGCTGTCCCCAACTGAAAGGTTTATCTTCAGTTTCATTCAAGCATTTTTAGCAGCTTTCAATGGAGTTCTTAATTTCCTGGATAGCTGTTTGAATGTGTCTCATATTCTAATTCTTTCCTGTATTGTTCATTCAATGTTTCCATCGTTTTTCTGGTCTCCTCTATTTTTTCTTTTTAATCTGTGTCTTCTTTAGGGGCAATGAGCATTTCTTTCATGATTGTTATTTAATTTAAGAGATTATTTGTGATTTGATTTCTTCCGCATTCTGATGGAGTTGTTTCTTTACTTCAGTTGCTATCATTTCAGAAATTTCAGGTGTGTGACTTGCAAGTTCTTCTGTGTCCTTGTTTACTGAACTTGTTCTGGATGGACTGGAGGGCTGAGATTGCCTTTTTGCTCCTTATTTTTAAAGCTCCCAAAGTTTCCCTGGGCTCAGGGGCAGCCAGTGGGCAGTGGGTGTTGCAGCAAGACTCTGACAAGAGTGTGGGTCAGGTTAGGCCCACCAAGACTCCTCAAGCTGTCATGGGGTTAGTGTGGTGTCCTTGGTGGTGTATAGGGTGGGGGGAGATGGGCTACAGCTCAGCAAGGCTCCCATGAAGGTGGGGTGGGGTGGGGTATGAGTCACCAAGGTTCCCAAAGCTGTCCGGGGCTCAATGTGACTTCCTCAATGGGGGGGCGGGGGGAGCCAAAATTCCACAAGGCTCCTGTTGTGGTGGTGGGGAACCACTGATTTTTGTAGCAGTCTTTGCTTATGTAATCCATTGTCTTTCATTTCATCATATTTTTCTTTTACAGCTTCGTGTGTAGAAATGAGTATTGCAAAGTTATTTCTGTATCCATTTAGAAGACCCTACTTCTAAAATTGTGTTAGAAGATCACTTTTGTCTGTATCTAAAAGTAATATATTATATAGTTGAAATTATCTTAAAATGTCTATATCCCTCTGCATATCATAGGTATTATTTTTTTCCAGATTTACATTGTGTGGATAATAGATAGCAAATGGGTGGGTGTATTGCTGGTAAAACTAATTGCTTTTGAATGTATTTTTTCCTGTCCTGTTTTACAAGAGTTTAGTTGCTCGTTTCCAATTGAGCTGACATGCAGTAGGGTTCTGAGGTATCACACTATGGAGTCAGAGCTCTGTGACAACAACTGTGTTCCCTACAGCATACCAAAAGGATATTCTGATGAATAATCTCAGAGTTTGGTGAGGTGAAGTGCATTTCACTCAAGTTTTATTTTTCTTGTCCTGTACCCATCTTTTTCCTAAAAGTGGAGACAAACAAGAACTGGAAATAATGAGAGATGGTTTTAGTGTTCTGTCACTTGTCATTAGTTCTTTACTTCTGAACTAAGTTCACACTTGGAAAAATAAAACTTCTAAGTAACATATTTTAAGAGAAAAGCCTTCCTTGATAGCACAATACTTATTTTAGAAAAAA